AGCTGCTGCTGCTCCTACTGCTGGATTTCCCAACCCATAGGCCAGATGATTCCACTCTGTATCCAGCCTATGGGGGACCTCATGGGTTCAGAAATTTGGCAATAGGACAAGCGACAGCAGTGTGAATTACCATTGCTCTGAGTGCGGCCGCAGTTAATAGTGCTACCACTTGCCATGATGTCAAATTTCCAGACCTGTGGGAAGCCCCGCAGGCTCCCGGATAACAGCTTCACGGACTGGATCTGATTCATGAACCATATCGTGATCACCCCTGGTCTATAGTTAATGATAAAAGCTCTTAGGAATTATTCTGAATAAAAGATATATAAAAGATTTATCAATTGATCAATAGCACAATAATTAACAGGAGCATAAATCACTGTAAAATTATTATACTAAGCACTATATTGATAATCGTCATGGAGTAACAAGAAAGAAAAACAAAGAAACAAGCCAACTATTATATAGTTTGGGGGTTTTCACCAGCTGGTAGGAAATGCAGCCCCACGGAAGAATTTCAAAGAATGATTAAGGCTTTTTTTCCCCTCCTCCTCCACCTAATTCTCATTTTAACTTGATTTAGATACATGCATTACAAGTGGAGACATCACTTGAACAGACCATCTGCCATGCTTTTAACAGTTAGTAAACCTACCTTCAGTGCTTTTATGTATAAGAGTTATTTCTGTGTAGTTATATAGTCAAATATAGCGTCCTCATATGTATTCAGCAAAAGCACTTAAGTGTGCATTTAAATATATGTTTCAAGTACACACTTAACTCTCATTTAGTGAGACTCAGGTTTCTTATGAAACATTTCAGTCAGGATCCAATATAGGTAGCAAAGTCCCTTTGATGTTAATGTGCTCCAGCATTTTGCTGAATCAGATTTTGAGTAGGTGGTAAGAATCCCTTTGATGCAACCGGAGACAAGACTGGGCCTGTGGTGACTGCTTAACAAAAAAAGAACCATAGGCATTAGCCAAAGGGGAAAGCAGAGGTAGCCTTTATTAGAAAAGTGGAAAGAAGCTGGAAGAACTGGGATCAAGGTCAGTAAAAGCCTGTGGCACTTTTTAAAATTGGATTCTGAATTTGGCAGGTTTTAATTGCTGGCATAGAAAAGGATTTCATGCTCTACTGTGTCCCTATGACCCTTGATTAACTCTTTCAGGCAGGGCGTTATCCTCCTCATACAAGAAACAGGTTCCTTGCTCATCATATTTCAGTTTAGTCTGGCCTGTCCCACATCCACTTTTCATTCAGGATATTAGAACCTAAGTATGTGGTATACCCTGTACGTAGATCACGTATAGCTGCCAGCAATAGATTGTTTCAAAAGCAAGCCAACGCTTGTACAACCGGAGTGGAAGAGAAGTAAGGATAACCAGTTTATCAGCAGAACAGTCCACATCATCAGCTGTTCTTTCATGGAGATAACAAGTGATGATGGCATTCTGCATCCTCTTTCACTTCAGGATACATAACTAGCTCCTTACTAGAGCTCTTTCAAAGGAATGGCTGCTAAAAGCTAGAAGACCATCTACTGATCTGGGTTGATGAAAAGTTCCTGTTTTAGATTCATGATTGTTACAGTTCACAAAGCCTTTTTGTGTTTATCTTGAAATATGGCAACCTGTAATATATCTTCACAAGCAATCTCATCATCAAAGATTGATTAATACATGTTAGGCCACGCTGCTTTCTAATAAGCAAGGCTAAATTAATGTTCATCACCATTGAGATCGGGACAATCTTCACCTTCCCCCACTGCCAATGCCCTAATTAAATTTATTGGCTTTAATACAAAAAAAAGATGAGATGATGTTTTCCATTGCAAATGAAATTCTATGCCTATGAAAAAAAGATGCTAAACAGGTTGTAAAATAGCCTTATTTGAAGGAAATGGGAACCCCTGGTGTATAAATTAAATGATAAGAAAGTAAAAGTATTGATGCTGAAGTCATAGATTTCGTGGACATTAAGGCTGGAAGGGACCTTGCAATGTCCTCGGGTCCAGCCCCACTGCTTTCTTGTCTCTAAAACAGTTTTAAACACTAACACACTGGTTACGCCTACTCCACATTCAAACTACGGAAGAAATATGGGAAAATTAAAAGGAGGACTCAAGAGAACTGGGGAAAGATAAATCTAAAATTGGGTGCAGAACGGACAAACATCAGAGTTTATTCAGGAGATAAACTGGTAAGAGTAAGACAATGAATCGAGAACCTAGCAAAAAATCAAAACAGAATCGAGTTGACTCAGTGGCAGTAGAAATACTGAAACTCAGGGAAAGGTTAAAAGTTACAGGACAGAAATGAAATATCCACTTGTTAAATTATTTAGTAGCCATGGGCTCACTATGGTTTTCTTGCACAGCTGTAGGATGTCAGAACAGGATAACTTGAAAAGAAATGTACAGTATATTTACATGAGATTTAACTGAAAGACCCATTACAAAATCTTGGATCATCAGAGTGAGAGGTTTTAAAACCCTGACTCTAACACTCAATTAAAACAAAAATCTCTTTCCTTCCCAGAGCGAGACCGCGGAGGCCTGCCATCCCAAAGAAATCAAGAGTTTTGACCTGCAAACCAGACCCCCCCAAACACTGTACAGCTCCTTCTCCTTCATTGCCACGACATGAAGGCATTTTGCACTCTTGCAGTACCGCAGTGCAATTGTTCATCGCCATCATCTCAGCCTCGTTTCTACCCTGGTCTCTTCCCCCTCCCTATGGATAATGAACCGGTTAATTCCAAAAAAACACAGTCAAAGATGCCTATAATCTTGCAAATATTAAATCCGGTGACTGCAGGGCCCCTCCAGATGTTGGGTTCGTTATTGCACAAGCGTTGAAGTGGAAATGCAAGCAAAAAAAAAACCCCCAAACAAGGCAAAGAAGAGATGTCCAACCTTTTCCAAGCCCTTCTCCGGCAGAGGTTGAGACAAGCACCAGGAAAACTGAGCAGAGGAGGCAAGTGGAGAGAGCCGCTGAGTGACCCTTCATGGTGACAGCTCGGATCTCCAGCAGCACGACAGATCTCCAAGCAGAATCAGATCAGATCAGATGGGATCACTTTAGGTTATTCTTTTTCTTTTTTTTTTTAAACCCAGGAAGTGATGTTTGGCGGATGTGGGTGGTGCTCCTGCCGCAGGTTAGATGCTAAAAGGAGCAGATGTCCTGACAGCTGAAGGAAGGACTTGGCAAAAAGGGGATTTTGTATTTTATTATTTTATTTTTTTTTAGCAAAGTTCCGCACGGGTCTGGTTTTTACAGATGATCTCCGCGGGGATTTCACCTCCCTCCGTGCTGGAAGCCCTCACCCCCGAGAGGGTTTGTGCTGCAGGCTCCCAGACACATTTCGGATCGTCCCCGGTTGGATGCATCCGATAGAAGCTCAAAATGCTCGTATTTGCAGGAAAAAAACCCTATTGCACACGGGAGCAAAAAAATTGCAAGCAAATAATTCGGACTCGTAGTAGAGAGGATCTCTTTTATGAGACCAACAAGATTTTTTGCAAAAAAAAAAAGTCTTGCATTGCAAGCAAGTCTGCACATAAAGGCATATAATACATAAATAGATCATGCATCTTTTTTATTTACACTATGCAAGTCACTTTTCTTCGTCACTTTATATTGCGCGCTGCAAGCCTCCCGGGCGTCCAAGCTGAATGCACCCGCAGCAGGGGACGGGGCACTTGCCCGGCGCGGGGTATGCTGGGGCTTGTAGTCCCCCGCGCCCGCCCGCTGTGGGCGGGGCGACGGGCTCCCTTCGGCGTTCCGCGTTATGTAAATACATGGCGGCCGCGTCCAATGGGAGCGGAGGGGGCGGGGCTGCGCGTCACGTGGTGCGAGGCCTCCTTTCTCTGG